TGCAATCCCGGACGAACACGAGGCCCCGAAATAGAGAGGGGCAGAGAGAGAGATAGTACTCCGAGAGTGGGAGTACTGGGAGAGAGAAAAAGAAAGAAAAACAATAGAGCAAAAGCGCAGCAAGCGCAAAAGAGCCAAAGCGCAAAAGCCCTTCTGTCCGGCTGCCCCTCACTTTCATACTGGGCATGGCGCTGCGTGATATGGAATACTGATTGGCCAGTTTGGCCTCAATCTTAAGTTCCACCACAAATCACAAGGGGAATCGTGTCCCCCTTGTCCCGGCTATGCTCCCCCCTTATCCTGCCATGCTTCTGCACTCCGGCACACTGAAAAGTCCTTGGAGTCTCACGTCCAACCACAAACACCAGCTTGCTATCAGCATTCTTCTCAGAGTGAGCCTCTGAGTGAAACCAAAACACGGAGCTCTTCTAGCTGCTAAAAAGAAGAGCTGACTCTGTCCCAGCTAAAACTGGGACACTGTTAAACTGTCTTTATCTCAACCCACGCGTTTTCTCACTTTTACCCTTCCAATTCTCTCTCCCATCCCACCCGTGCGGATGAGCGAGCAGCTCGGTGGGGCTGAGTTGCCGGCAGGATTTAACCCACCGCAGGCAGGAATGGCTGAATGCTACATCCTTGGCACTCGAGCAGTGCCTTTTGCAAGGCTTCGTTCACTGTTAGGAGCCTTTACTTGGGCAAAGGCTCATCTTGGCACAGTTAAACGGAAGGATTTATAGGTAATTAATAATAACTGATGTAGAAGTTCTTTTTTAGCAATATGTGATTGAGATTAATAGGTACAAGTGGTACTCTGGCAGCCAGCTTCTAAGTGTTCAAAGGATGGTTTTTAATTTGGCCTCTTTGTGTAGTACGTGGGTAATGGATAAGGTGTTACACTTTTTTCAAGGCTTTGCACTGAGGAATTACATCAGGCAATTGTGTTGTCACATGCTTTGAGGGCCTCATCTTGGAAAGGCAGCTGGGTTCATTGGGTCTGACCTCCTCCTTCCAATAATAAACACTGTCCCAGTGGTATGGATAAGGATAGTGGAGAAAATTGTTGTCTGAAAGGGAGAAACTGGCAAAATGTGTGTGGGGGGAAATCTTTCATGTGTGACTTGCTGTCAAGTGGGTAGGAAAAAATATTCTTGTGCTGCCATGGTGCAATAGAATGTCTCCAGAATCTACGTTAAACACTGATCAATGTCTCCAGAATCTACGTTAAACACTGATCTGGCACCATGCAAACTGGTTAAAGAATGGGTATCCTAAAAATACAGGGCGCTAGTGGAAAGACTCTTCCAAATGTTATTAGAAGAGCAGTCCTATGATAACCTTGTAGGATTTGTTATGAGAAGAATGTTGATACCGCACAGATGTTTATCATTGGTGCTGAGACCTTAAGGACTTCTCAGCTTCCCACGTTTTCACCATTGTGCAGGAGCACAACAGGCTGGGGGGAGCACGGCCAGGACAAAGGGTCCACAACTGCCCTTGTGATTTAACTTAGATTTAGGATTGAGGGTCAAATTGGCCAGTGAAGTACGTCGTATCATGCAACGTCATGCCCAGTGTGTAGATAAGAGTTGACTGGGAAGAAGGGCTCTTGCTCTTCTGGGGGCTCACACTCTCAGCCTCTGAGTGCTCTCTTGCTCATTCTCTTGTTGGGCCTCTTGTTCCTCCAGGATTGCAGTGTTGGGAATTAGCTGTTTCAGGATTGTTTGCTGGGATAGAACAGGTGTTGGTCACTGGGTGCTGAAACTTACACTGTGCATCACTTGTTTGTATATATTGTAATCATTATATATATTCATATATTATTATTATTTTATCATTATTACTTTTAATTTTATGTTATTGCTATTATTAAATTGTACTTATCTGAACTCACAAGTCTTCTTCCCTTTTCCCCTTTAATTCTCTTCCCCATTCCCCGGGGGTAGGGGAGGGTGTGTTTAGTTGCCAGCTGGGCAGAACTGCAACAGTAGTTATGTTCTACTTCATCTTTAATATTAGATTGTGAAGATATTGTTTTAAAAAGTCTAAAAGCTACCATGTTTAAAATCACCGTCGGCATCCCAACCCTAAATGAGTTCCAAAGATGAGCATGAGAATTCTATTGGTTATCAAAAATCGTGGCTCAATGAAGATGGATTTACTTAGTCACATCATAATCTCCCTTCTCCTTCTGATATTCCAGAAGCAATAAGATAGATGCCCCTCTTCCTCTGGAGGAAAACCCCAGCAGCCTCTGCCTCCCCATCCCAGCTGACCCTCTCTCAGGTCACTGGAACAGTTCAACAGTTGTTATTCCTTTATATTCATTGAATTTTAGCTCCTTTTCCAGACCTGATCAAGGACCTGTTTGCCTGCTCCTCAGTGTAGCAGATGCCAGTAACAAGAGGTTTGAACACGAGCATCCTCAAACAGCTGCTGACTGTGCCACTGCCAGTTTATCCATAACACAGTTTTAAACCTGTTTAAACCTTGCTGGCCTGTGTCTGGCGAGCCAGAAGGCTGCTGGATGTCTGTTGTGACCTTGCAGCGTTGCTGCCTTTCCCCTGCCCTCTTCCAATTAGTAGTCTGGAGTGCTCCAAGTCCTATCAAAAGAACAACAAGGTGCCATTTTTTCAAATGTAAGCACATATTAATTATCACATGCAATGGTTATTTGTGCTGCCCTGACTTGTCTGCACATCTGCTAGGATGCACGTCACCTATGAAAGCTTGAGCCACGTCGTGTGTCCAGGTTCTACAGGAGCAGCAAGGCGTCGCATCGAGCTGTTGCGAAATGTCGCGTTTATCTGAGCTATCTTGACTTTTGAGGTGATTTTTCACAAGACTTGCGCATGGAGTTGTAACAGCTAAATCTCTGCCACTTCTCTCCTCCTCCAGGCCTGTCAGGTTATTGCTTTAGATACGTGTAAACATAACAGGTTGGAACACTCCAGTACAAAAATGTGCTCTTAGCAGCTGCTGAAACTTCATTCTCAATATATTCATTGTTGTATAGACAATTCTGCGAGCAGAAGCATAAACAAGTTCTGATTATTACTTGTGTCTTAAATAAGTTGAAAGTCTCCTGAATGACACAGAGAAAATAGGTTTAAGTCTCTTTTTTTTGTGTCACTGCTGAAATTCAGTTTTTAATTTTAGCACCTTAATTGGGACTACTTAGCTTTGGAGTTAATCCTACGGCTGAAGAATATGAGAATAAAAATGTCACGTTCTGGTTACTGATACGGTAGTCTCCGAGGCCATGATTTTAAGGCAACCTAGTGGTGATGTGTTTTGAGCCAGACCATGATAATCACGGGAAGGATTGTTCTGGTACCTGTGTCATAACTATGATTTGCCATTTCTTTTCTGTACGTTAATGCTGGTGGTTTTTGCTGTGCTTATCTAGACTGCTGGAGTTGCAAACGTGCTTAGAAAGAAAAACTGATGTAAATTCAGCTAATCAATTAATATGCCTCTTTCTAGTCATGACATAACATTTTAACTTTTGAATGTTTAGCTCCAGTTTTGGATGAAACAGCAGGAAGCATGAAAAAATGGAAGAGTGAGCACTTCCTCCTGCTAATTTACTAGTATATTTGCTTGCTTGTGTGTGGTCTGTTCTGGGTTCTTGAATATTATTTTTTTTCTTTGCTTGCTTAAAGAGAAGTTTTAGTTTTCTTGCACTGTTGTGTGTATCTGAACAGGTTTTCTCATTTCATTTTATAGAGGAAAATGGCCCAAACTACCGCACCAGCAACGTCCATGTGTGATGAGGAGTCTCCTGAAAGCAGAGTGGTGGTTACGTTCCTCATGTCAGCGCTTGAGTCGATGGTTAGTAGAAAGGTTAAGCAGCTTGTGGAAAATCATGTTAACAGTCTGCTTAACAGTCATCATGTTTCCTGTTGTGATTGTTTTAAAAATTATTTTGTCAAATAAACAAACGGGAAATACTTCTTGATTGCTCAGGTAGAGCATGGTTGAAAGGCAAGAGTACATTTGGGTCTTTGTCATCTGTAATATAGAGCGAATAAATGGTCCTGAGGGTAATGCCTTGTCCTCAGCTGCTGTACCAATTGGACAAAACTTGTTCAAAAATACTAACTTTTTTTTTAAGTGGGTGTATCACTTGTTTTGTAGAAGTTATTTAATCATTGTGTGGTGGGGTTTAAGGTTGGCCAGGGCTGTGAGTGGAAATGCCTGTCCCATTTCCTTGAAGTTGAGGCACTGTCAAAGATTTGGTTCTTTAAAATTATTTTTCTAAATGGTAACTAAGAACAAAAATTTTCTTCTTGGTGATGAAACTTTGAATGGGATGGTTATAAGATAGTTGATTGCAAGCCTTCTTTCCCAGTGGGTATGTTTGGTTCCTAAAGGCTTTGTGTCACTTTTTCCTCTCATGCTGCAGTTGTTGGTGTCTTTTTATAGGTTGCAGCATCTGAGTTCCTAGGGGAAACGGATTTTTGGGATCACTTCTTGATGATCTCCCTAATTTTCTTAGGATCTTTGCTCTCTCCTTGCACTGCAGGTTTTGCCAGAAACTTCCCCCAGCAGAACACACGTAGTTGTTCCCAGGGAAGGTGCAATCCTTGTGCTCAGGAGGAATTCCCGTGAGCACAGCAGGCAGGACAAGGCAGACTGCAGGCAGCCTTCCTGCCTGCAGCCACCCCTTTCTGAGCAGAACACGATGTGTGACAAGTGTGCTGTGAATGAGCAAAGCTCCTTGTACGCTCCGTTGAAAGTTGGAGTAAGACGCTCGATGTGATTATCAAACGGGGAAGTGATAATTTCACATGGATTGGTGTCATAAACCATTTTAATTAAAACCGGTGCAATCTCTGAGTCTGTACAAGGCCTTCATTTCAGTACTGCATCTACAATGCTTTTAAGATTCCCAATGAAAAGCACTCCAGATGTATAAATTATCCTTTGCTAATGGCTGATGTTATGTTACTTGTGGTACCTTCTGAAGGGTGGATGCTGGCAACAGAAATAATAACTGATTTACATGATACCACATATATTTCTGTTAACTGAACTCTCAACCAGGGTAATAAAAGCTTTTTGTTTTTCTTTTTATAGTGTAAAGAACTTGCCAAGTCCAAGGCAGAAGTTGCCTGCATTGCTGTATATGAAACAGACGTTTTTGTAGTTGGAACCGAGAGAGGAAGAGCCTTTGTCAATTCTAGGAAAGATTTTCAGAAGGATTTTGTTAAACACTGTAAGTTTCAATGTTGTGTTTTTGTATTTCACAAGCTGCTTCATGTGTATTGCGTTATACTAAGAACTTTGGGGAGCAAAGTTCTGTATATCATGGCTACATGCTATAATTATGTAGGCTATGGCAAAACCAGCTGTTTAAGAACATAAAATTGGTCAGTAAAAGTGGTCTTGTTTGGAGTGTTATTTCAACTGTGGCTGGAAATGTTCATTTTTTCCTAGATAATGTGACCAGCTAGTACAATAAGAAATATTAGACTGTCCACCCTCACAACACATCCTGGGTTTCATAGTGCATGTTAATTTTTCTTTGTATCCTCTCCCTCAAGTCTTTTTCCCACTCGTGAAGGCTGGATGGGACATTGAAAGGGTGGTGGATGACTGCTGTCAGCTTAGATGGTCCTGCTTCTGCAGATCATTTCCTGCCTTATTAAAGCAGATGTATGTTTTTGACGAGATACAATTTTTATGTAGCTTTTTTTAAATCACTGTTATTTAATAGATATAAGTATATATATATATACCATAATGACTTTTGTACTTCTTTAAGTACATCTAAGGTGTGTTTTTTGTTTAATTTCATATTTATAGTAAAACACTGGAACTTCTGTGTTCATAAAATATGATCCATTGAGTACAGGACAGTATTTTTAGGAGTTAAGTTTCAAAGATTCATTGACTCTTTGTGGGAACATTGATGTGCTCGTTTAGGAAAGTATTGCTGATAGACACTGCTTAATGAATAATGAAATGTACCTTTACCTGCCTAGGGAAGGGGACAAGATGCAGGTCAAGAGCAGGGTATGAAAGGAGAATCAGACTGGGGGGGAGCTGAAAAACAGCTGCGAAATGTTCTGGCTTGACTTGGAAAGCAGCTATGTTTTTAATCTGTAACAGAAATACTTGCTCCTAAAAATGCTTTTGCTGCTAGCTAAAATCCTGCTGGAGGTTTTGTCTTGAGGTCATTTGTTCGTGATGAGTCTCTGGAGTTTTGCCACTGTCCTACTCTCTTGGACAGTGACTTTCTGTGCACGTAAGTATATTTACTCTAAGGGAGGTCACCACAACGTTGCACTGTAACAGGTAACTGATATTAAAATGCAGAATTATGACCTTACTGAGGAATCAAGTATAAGATGAATCAGTCTCCTTTTTTATTTTTCACAGGAGCAGTCTTCTGATACTGGTATTTATGAAAACCGTTAGCTGAATAATGGGGGGAGAGTTCAGTTTTTCACCTGACTTCTTTTTTGTTTTGCTTTGGTTTCGTTCCTTAAAGGGCTTCACAGAGACCCTAGATACTTTGTTTTACTGCCAGTACAGTGTATATGGGCCCTGATATACTGGGCACATCTGTCGGTAGGGAGTCTGAGGCAGCTGGGATTTGATGTTTGATCTCCCTGGCTAGATCTGTATTTCTGCTTCTGTACCGTGGGAAGCACTGGCTACTCATCCGTGCTTGCGTTCGACTGTCAGACGTGGCTTCTATAGATATGTGCACGTGTTTAAATCTTACATTAGTTCCCATAATCCTGATCCTTTGCTTTAGTCCAGTTTTAGGATACTCGTTCCTGGGCAGTGTTTTTGTACTGAGATTAAACAATATCCACTTTGAAAACAGTGTTTTCATGATGCTTCCTGCAGAACATCATGGTGTAGATCTACATGAATGAAGCCAGCTAACCTCAGTCACTGCTTTCGAGGTTCCACTAGGTGAATATCCCCGTGCCTTCTGGGGAGTTTTGATGCTGGCTTTGTTGCTGACAAAGATGTTGATGACTCCAGACCACTTGACTTCAGAACCCCAATTTTTAGGAATAATAACGTTACATATTGCTGGTGATGTGGATTCCATCACTGCCTTTGACAACTTTGAAGTCTTGATAAAGTTTGTAGTGTAATATCTTTCAAGCTAAAACTTAGAACTGTGAAGACAATGGTTCCTTTCCTCTCACACCTCTTTTCAGTTAAATACGAAAGCTAGCAACAGACCATGTTAGTTGCAATTTTAGTGTTTTGAAAAAATCCAGGAAGGCCACAGTTCTATGTGTTTTAGTAAAAGATGGGCCCTTTTTGTTTCTTTATGATTAATAAAGGCTTCCAAGACATTCTTACGTTGCTATTAGAATTAAACCTTTAAAGATTCAGCTGTGACATCAGTTTCTGGAACATGCGGTGCTGACAGTATGGAGAATTACTTCTCCAGTTGTGTGGGTCTCTTCATTTTTCTTTAAGTATGGAAACAGAAGTGTAGTTACTAAGCATTCCTTTGGTTATGTCTGACTGTTGTGACAAGCCAGCATGTGTCTCCAGTCTTTACTTCCACTTTTCCCACAGCTCCTTTGTATAGTTTGAGTAAATATGAAGAGTTTTCAGAATTTGGAGGGCTCAGGCTTCAAAGCCACTGCTTATTTTTAGTAGTGAGTATAATTTAGTGGGCTAAATTGATGAAATGTGTATATGAGGTTTATGAAGGAAGTACCGTGTACGCTTCCTAGAAGTATAGGGCTGATAAAAATAACAGCAGTTCAGTGAAAGTGGCGCTGGAGTTTGGTTTCCTGTGGCTTTCATTCATAACGACTTTCACCCACGTAGCTTCCCCAATGCCTAGCTGCGGGGGAAGGAGAAGCCCCACACGTATCTCATGTACCTTGTTACCTTAAGATAATGGGTAGAAACAAATTATAGCAATGCTTTTTTCTTTTTTTTTTTTTCTCTTTTTTAATAGTGTACTGAGCATTTGTCCTGGTCTCAGCTGGGACAGAGTTAGTTCTTTTTAGCAGCTAGAAGAGCTCTGTGTTTTGGTTTTAGCCTGGGACTCATTGTAAGAAGAACGCTGACAGCGCACTGATGTTTATAGCTGGCACTGAGGCCTCAAGGACTTTTCAGCTTCCCCTGTTCTTGCCAGTGTGCAGGGGCACAACAGGATAGGGGGGAGCACGGCCGGGACAAAGGGCTCACAACTGCCCTTGTGATTTGAAGTGAGACTTAGGATTGAGGGACAAATTGGCCAACGGAGTATTCCATATCATGCTGCGTCATGCCCAGTATAAAGATAAGGGTCAGCTGGAAAGAAGGGCCTTTGCTCTTCTGGGGCTCTCACTCTTGACAATAATAAATATTGTTTTATTGACAATAATAAAAGCAGTGCTAGCAACAGGGCCAGATCTACAAAGCAACTTAAATACCAAAAAAATATAGAGCAAAGCTTCTGAAGGTCTCCATGACATTTATCTGTAGGCATCCAAATAGCTCATAATTCAGTTTTTTGTCTTTGAACTGTGTTCTCTTTGTATGCACTGATATCCAAAAAGCATGGTGTAGAAATACATCAGTTCCGTATTTTTTAACCAAATCTCAGTAAAGTGAGTGTAGCATATTGGTATAAATATACATTTTAACATGCTGGAGCTCTGATTGGCATGTCTTGCTTCTTTCTTTCATTTTTCTAATGGATGAAGCTATTTCCATGTTTGATCCCATCTGTGTGTCGTCTATGTAGTTTCACTATAAGCAGTGCTGAACAGACTGATGCTGCAGACCTGAGAGCATCATGCACAGTTCTTGTGTTTAGAAGATGATAGGTGAGAGTCAAGCTACAGTAATGTGAATATTTTATTAACTCAGTAACTCTGGGTTAATTTTAGACTCCGTGCTTAAAAATGTCTTTGATTAAATCTGCTGAGAGAGCCCCGACACTGCAGCTTGCTGGTTAGTGTGGGCACCGTGCTGCTAGCCTGGGCTTAGTCCTCTTGTGGCACTTTATTTGAATGCTCCAGTAACGATGTAAATGAAATATTAATCCAGTTGATTTGCTTCTTCCTTACTATTGTGATCACCTCTGATTATATTCTGTATGTCTTTCTTGTCATGCCTGTCGTAATTCAGAAGCAGCATCGAAATGGGGTGTTTAGCTTTTCAGCTCTGAAGTGGAATGTCTCAGACTTGAAATTGGGTACAGGCTGAATCCCTGGAACTGTGTGGAAGCAACCTAACACCTTTTCAGTAGTACTGTAATAACAGAGGTTATTAGTGGGCCTAAGTGCTATTGATTGTGTTTGTCCTCGTTACAGTATCTAAAGGACAATCTTCATCATCTCTCTCTGATTATGTGCCACGCTATTATAGTGAAAATACCATTCTGTAACTAACTGGTGTCTTTTTGTGTTGCTCAGAGGCTAATAATCCCTTGACACTAATGCAGCTAGTTTAAAAATACCAGTTCTTTTTGATGATCGTGTGCTGGTGTGGAAACTGGTTTCCCACAGTCATTTTCTTTGGCCCTAAACCATTCTGTGGCCAGCTGAGACTTCTGTGGCTTTTGCTGTTCCTGAAGCTACTGAATATTTTGGAAGAGAAAGGAGTCGTTATAGACATAAATAGTGAATGAAAGAAAACCAATAAAAGCCAGGCAGTGGATTAATCCTGACAAAACGCTCGTGGAGCTGCATGCGTGCCATCACTAATCTGTTACCTATTTTAAATGCAAGGGGGGGCTGTATCCACGGTTCTTGCTCAAGCTTTGGTCTTCCAGTGCATTTCAAAATGGGTACACTTTACAGAATGCGTAGCAGGAAAAAAGGATGGTGGAATAGTTGCTTCTTTAAAGCTGTGGCTGTCAGGATGCTTTTCTACTGCCAAGCCAGAGTTGCTTTACACCTCTGTAACTCTCGACCTCTTTTTTCATGCCAGACTTCCTTCCAGCTATTTGGGAGTGGCCTCTTTAAAACACCCTCTGCTAAATGCTTATTCTGTGTGAGTATCTGCTGGAACAGGCTCTTCTCAGTCACTTTTAATGGGAACTTACTCAGCTGTGGCTCTCGGTTGTGTTCCTGAGTTTTCACCTTTTTGGAGCAGATGACTTGGAATAACTTGCACTTCTCCAAACTGCAAGACCAGAAGAGATGGCTGCTCCTGCCCATCGCTGTTTCCCAGACTAATTGTTCTGGCAGACATGATGTGTATACTCCTACCATGCCCGTCACTTGGGAGTTAAGTCCTTGCATCTCTGCTAGCAGAAGGGAGCAAGTGAGCGTTCCCTTGTCTGTTCTGTGTTATGTCAGCTGGGTTGCATCATGCCAGTTTCATTAATGCCAACCTGGCTGGCTCTGCCTGGGGTTAATTAAGGAAAAGTTTCGTAATCCTTTTTGCTTGGGGGAGCCGGGGGGGTGATAACTGCTGCCTTCCTCTTGTCTATCTCCTTTCTTGTTCTTTTGCAGCTCTCTCTTAAGATGGTCTTCTGCATTTGTGCCCAGTGTAAAACCTTAGCACTGTGAGTTAGTTCTGGGGGTCCCCACCTCCCTGGGATGCTACGAAGATGTATGGGGTGCCCTCATTGCTAATGCTTGTGGGGTATCTTTGTTCATTTAACAAAAAGTGTGAAGCTTCAGATGTTTCTGCAGGAAAGCTGGGACACTGCTACATGCATTGTGACTGCCTCCAGCGTTCTGGGCTTCTGCTTTCCCAGTCTCTTGAAGTATTTACGTCGTACTCTGGCTGTTGGAAGTACTCGTTCATGTTTTGCATCTGTTTCTGCCCCACTCCTAGTTTTTGAGGGAGTTTTTCTGTTGCGATTTTAACTTCTAGATAAATTAACTGAATGGTGTTTGTTCTTGGAATCCCTAAGAGCTTTTTTGAGTTAAGATTTTACGTTTCAGTCACTTTCTGTTACGTATTTTGGAATGTAGCTATGAGTTAAAGCATCTACCCTTAAAGATCTGATCAGTTTATTCCTCCTAAGTCACATGCTTAGCGATTAGTTTAAAGATAACATTCCTAGCACTTGCCAAACAGTTGCAGTTATAAGTAATAACAATAAAAACCTGTCTTTCTTACTGAGAGCTGCCTTTTTTTTTCTTCCATGCTGTCTCCATTTGAGATCACTGAAATGGTTCAGCTTATGGTCCCCTTCTGCCTGACCTTTTGAAATGCAAATAATGTCGGTTTTGAGCTATCCCATGCTGTGTATTTCTCACATATTAATATGTGTTCATTAACTGAACTCTGCATTAGTAGCCTAGATCTTCATGAAAGACACGGAACTAATTCTGCTTTTAGCTTTAACTTGTGGCCTGCTGTGCTCTTACTTCTGCTGGAGGAGTGTTGAGCTTCATCACCTTCAGATACAGAATCCTACCATCTTTTCTCTGTTGTTGTTTGTGTAGCATCTCATCTTCAGGTCACATTTTGGGGGAAATTTCAGTTAAGTAAATTGTTGTGGGGTTTTTTTGGTGTTTGTTTTGTTTTGTTTCTTACTCTTTGGTGAGTAATGGTCAGTGCTGGTTTTGTCACTTGTCTGCAGCATGACCCAGCGGGCCGTGCTCTGCTCCGCAGGGGACGTGCAGCCTGCCTTCTCCGAACAGCAGCTTTCCCCTTACCTGGGAGTCGGATACTTGGAAGATGGACGTGTTTTATGGCCTATTTCAGTCTGCTGCATTCAGACCATGCTTTAGCAGACCTTCAGAATAAGTGTTGCCTAATGCTGCTGAGCTCTGACACTCTCTACCAATTCATAAGCATTACAGCATTTGTCTAAGGCAGGAAACTGGAGAGTCTGCTCGTATAGAGGTCAGGGTGTAGCTTTCTCAGGGCTGCCGTGCAACAAGAAAGAATTTCCAAATTAAAATTTGATTGTTTCAAGTATTTTTTTTGTAATGTCACAAAAAATTTTGTAAAAGGCTATTTTTTTACTGTAAAGCAGCCTATTTGTTTTATAGTATATTCATTTTATAGGTATGGTGACAGCTGGGAGATTCCTTTTCCAGCCAACTGGTAGGCTGGACTGTCAAACCAAGTCTGCTGCTGATCAGGGCAGGTAAGAGGGAAGGGTGTTCTGAATAACCAAAACACCTGGGTAGCTCAAGAAGATAAGAGATACTCGTATATAGACTCTCAGTGCAAAATGAGGTTTGATAGTAGTTG